CATTTTGGCTGTAGAGCAGTGTTATTTGTCCAGTTATACTGCACAAGTCACTTGACTTACAGAGAACTGTCCCTATGCCATGCTTGTTGCATGAAATGAAGTGTATTTTATAGACACTATAGGCTAGGCTACAAAAATATAAATGTCACTCCAGTTTGACATTATGTTGATATACTCTGAGCCAGCTCTTCATCTGCAGCTCCATTGGAGACAGTGGGTCAAAGCCCCAGCTATCGGCGTAGCTCCATTACAGTCAACGGAGCCAGGCCAGTTCACACCAGCTGGGAGTCTGGCCCGGGGAGGTATCTTCACTAGTCCATAAAACATGCAGCCAACTCCAGCTCACACTGAAGTGACTTTCCTTGGAAAAATAAAGCAACCAACACAGTCAATCTCTGAATATTTTTAAAAAAAAGTGGGCCAGGTGGGGGCCCCACAGATCTATGGGACTCAGAAAATGCCCCAAAACACTGACAGTCTGTTGTTGAAGGGTCCTCCCTTGAGCCAGGCTGGGAGAAGGACTTGCAAATACTCCCTCTGACATGAGCCCATGTCAGAGGGAGACGTGCAACAACTTTCCAACAGAACTCCTAGCACTAAAAAGCGACTTCACAGATGTGCTGGGGTGTGGGGGGCAGAGATTACTAACTCCACAAAGGGCTGGGGGAGATCTGCTGTAGGGGGATCACTGTGTGCCCAGTTTGGGTAAGGCAGGGGGGGTTGAGGAGGCTGGGAGAGATCACTAAGGATCCCCTTTGTTCTACACCTCCAGACTTCATGTTGTTGAGCTACATCCTCCATATGTACTTGGGGGCCATGACCTGTCCATAGGAGCTCATTCACACTAGGAAAACAGAAGTGGCATGAGACAACCTGGCATCTTGACAACATGGAGGTGCTATGATGCAGAAAGCCTATGCTACCCCACCCTGTCAGGGACTTGTCCAAACACATGATCATTACAAGGAGTCTCCTGATCTCAGCCAGCTATGGGGGAAGCTCTCGAGAAGATGGCTGGCTGACCCTGAGGAAGTGCTGAGCAGCAGGAACATGCATTTGGTGTCATCTTAGCACCATAATCCCCATGTGTGCTATCGGCCAGGAGTGGAAACTGGGTAGGATGTCTGCTATTTTCATGCTGAGGTGTATGAGAAGACCAAGACCTTGAGGGGAGTAGTATGATTCGACATTGGTGAGGCCTCATCTGGAATACTGTGTCCAGTTTTGGGCCCCACACTACAAGAAGGATGTGGAAAAATTGGAAAGAGTCCAACGGAGGGCAACAAAATGATTAGGGGTCTGGAGCACATGACTATGAGGAGAGGCCGAGGGAACTGGGATTG